CTTCTTGTCGGTCCTCAGGGTGCGTGCATTGTACGTTGCCAGGTCGAGTCGTCGTAGGTGGCAACCGAACCTCCACCGGAGATTCTTAGCACCCCCTGCCCCGCCGTTACCATGGTCGCCACCGTAGCCAGGAATAGCGGGGCCACAGGGGACTGGGGCCGTTTGTTTGCGTCGTCGCTCATGGGGGGATATTTGCCACAGTTGCCACGGTTGGCGAGCGGGTTGGCAACCGCAGTTTTTTATTATGTTATTGTTGTTATTAGGAAGATGCTGCCGCCCATCTCCTTTCTGTGTCCCTCTGTCTTCTCATACGACACCCACGGGAAGATATGGGTTAGTGGATATTTTCAACCGTCACTACACGGCACCACCTGCTTAGGATCCTATAATTAATAAAATTAAAACTAAACCCAAGCATACCACTGCAAGACTTCAAAACACAGTTATTTCATTCTGCGTAGATCGGACCAAAGACAATAATTAAAAAGCTGAAGGTACTCCGGGTTAACTTTGAGATCGGGACGTCAGTCACCTCAGTCCCCCGTGACCATGGGTGCTGGAAAGCCACCGAGCTTCAGCACGTCAAGCAGGTTCTGCACGACAACAAGCTTCGGGTCCCGCGCCTCCGTCACAGTGACCGAGTGAAGCCGGCCACAGTCGAGCGTGTGACTGCTGTACTACCATATGTCAGAAGCACCCGAAACGTCGGATATTAAAAATAAAATAAATAAAACGCGATAAAATCCGTAAAAGTAGTTTTAATCAATGTATAGTGTTCGCGTAAATATAAGAAATCATCATCAAAACGAATTAATTATTATTATCAGCTATTAAATTAGTCTCAGGCCTATTTATAGTTGATGATCTCTCATCTGTGTATTTCATAGTAGTGTAAAGTAATAAATTGTACATTAATTCTATTTAAAAGAAATGTCCCGCTGGGTTTCCTGCTGGTTCTTCCCGGGACTATTGAATAAAAATAGAATTATTTTATTTAATATCCTTCCCAGGATATTGAATAAAAATAATTCTATTCTATTCTATTTCGGAAGCCTTTTTTAACGTAATAACGCTACATTACACATTATTAAGTAACTACCTTCCAACATCAGAAGTGAGATTAAAGCTTCCCATAATATCCTTTTATTTTAAATACCATTTCTACATCATAAATGTGTAATAACTTACCTGCTTGTATTATTTCACACTTTATTCTCTAAATCTAAAATATGTTAACAATAAATCGCAAAGAATGAAGCCTTGAAGCATAATTGAATATTGAATATAGGAATAGAAATTTATTGTTAATGTATTGTAATAGTACCTCCATGTACAAGGCTTGCACGGATTTTAATGCTGGCAGCATTACCCTTGCCTAGTTCAGGTCTCGTGTTTTCATTCGAGTCATTATGTTTAAAACTATTCAAAATATTTCACATTTTCAATAATAGTGGCAACCAAGAGCAGCGTTTTTTGTTTTTAAAATTTATGTCACAATTTACTTACATTTTTAGGGAGGGTATCTACAAATCGCTTCGAATGAAGTCATTCACACATGTCACGTCATCGAATTTCACTTGGTAAGTTCATTTGATATTCAAATATTTGCGATAAAATCCGAGAAATTTAGTTTTATTTAACAAAGAGAAAGTCTTCGACTAAAAAATCAAAAATATTTTCGGATATGACGTCCACCAATAAGTATTGAGGCAGCGCGATGAGATTCTTGAACGGTATGCCGTATAAGGCGGCCTAAGAAGAGAGAGAGGCGGAGAGTATGCAATCTCAATCACATATTTATTCATTTATTTATAAGATACACCAACAGCAAAACACATGAAACATTAACAACAACACAATAACAAATGTATGTGGTTAAATATGTTTGCCAATTACAGGTATACACAACATTTACTGTAATGTGTAGCTTATTATATTATAATGTTACTGAATACAAAATAACTTATATTAAGAAAAAACTAACTAAGGAATAAGTTTGTGCTGAGAGGGTGCAAAAAATTGGTCAATTTTTTTGAAGCACCGGGCAGAGTCGTTGAAAATGTCGATGTCCGGTATCTTTGTCATAATTTCATTGTATGTGTTACATATTCTGGCTAGGGGATAATGCGCGCCTAAATTTGTTTTATGGCAAGGTATGCTAAATAGTTTGCGAATTGGATATCGAGGATATCTATACGGGATAACTAATTTGATGTGATCGAGGACGTGCGTACTTTTGATTGTGTTATGCAGTAACTTGTGTAGGAACATTAATTCTGCAATGAGACGTCGGTCACGTAAGGTTGTCATTTTGAAAAATGCTAGCCTCTGACTATAGGGGTGTCTATGCGATATGCCTGGAGTTGAAAAGGCAAGGTAGCGTGTAAAAACTCTTTGAATCGTTTCGATTCGCTGAGAAGACGCACTATAAACTGGGTTCCATACAATACTTGCAAATTCGAGATGTCTACGTACTAGTGCATTTTTTATGTTTTTTTTAAAAAAAGAGTAAGTTCAAGTTCAAGAAGTTTTCAATGAAAAGAACTTTCTTAGTTTGGACACATCGGAAGCATTTCGCGTTTCTTTTTAGGAATCCCAACATACGAGTTGCCTTTTTGACGATATTATCAGTGTGATCGGTCAGTTTCAGTATACAATCCAACAAAACACCAAGGTCCCTGATCTCTCTCACCTCCGCCAAGGTCACGTCACCTGTCACGTAGGTAGTAGTGATGGGGCGTCTTTTTCTGGTGTAGCTTATGTGGTAGCATTTGTTGGAATTTAAAATCATTCCGTTGATTGCACACCAATCCATCAGTTCGTTTAAGTCAGATTGCAGAAGGTCAGCATCCTCGGTACTTTTGATTGTTCTACTCACACATAGATACAGTACTGTTTTCAATATATGTAGCTATGTCATATCAAAAATAGTAGAGGACCCAAGTGTGACCCCTGGGGGACACCAGAATTAGCCAAAAAATTTCAGATTCAAATCCATCTATAGCCACTTGCTGAGGTCTCATTGCCAGGTAAGATTCGAACCACTGCAAAAGTGAACCACTTATACCCATTCTCTTAGTTTAAACAGCAGGACTTGGTGGCCGACTTTGTCGAAGGCACTTGAAAAGTCTGTATATATTGCGTTCACCTGCAGTCCCTGTCCACGTCCTGTGCTACCGCGGACATGAAGGAAGACAAATTAGACTCCATTGAACGACCACGACTGAAACCATGTTGGAAATCTTATATAATGTTTTCAGTATGGCTGTAGACTATGGGGTAAACAAGGCATTCAAATAATTTAGAAAAACACGATAAAATGGAGATAGGTCGGTAGTTGGTAACATCAATCTTGTCACCTTTCTTATAAATTGGGAAAACTCTGGCTTTTTTCTATTCATCGGGAAACTTTCCTTCGCTTAAAGAGCGATTAAATATTAATGTCGACGGGAAGGCAAGAACGGATCCACATCGTTTCATAAATAGGGGTGGTATGTTGTCAGGGCCAGGTCCTTTTTTTTCATTGAGGTGTTGTTTTTTTTTTTGTACACTTGAGACTCGCTTAATTCAAGTGTAACGATGGAATTACTCAGGTTCACAATATCATGACTATGAGAAACATCGGTAACGCTATTATTGGAGTACACGTAAGAAAAGTGACTTGCAAAAAGGTTCGCCATATCGGTTCCTGAGGATGCAGTTGAATCTTTCAATATCATTTTAGCGGGAAGTACAGAAAGACCTTTGCGCTTATCTTTGATGAAACGGCAAAATTTCTCCGGATCGTTACGGATGCTAGACTCAATTTTTGTCATGTAATTATTGTAGCAGATATTAACAAATTTATGGCATCGTTTGCGAAGAAGGTTGTACTCATACTTATCTCTAGGATTGCCGTACTTGGCATATCGTTTTCTAAGTTTATCCTTATCTTTGATAAGTTTTATTAGATTTTTTGTGAACCATGATGAGTTCCGAGTTGGTTTAGATGTGTATTTGGGTACGTGATTGATAATTTCACTCATCAGTTTTTTGTAAAATTCAATAACAAAATAATTGACGTCCTTACAGTCCTTAAAAATGGTAAGCCAATCAGTACAACTCAATTCCAGGATTAACGAATCAAAGTCTGCCTTGTGGTATTTATGTTTTACACGTGGCTTAGGTAGCAGATTTTTGTCGTATTCAAAATTAAGTTCTGATATTTCAATGAGTATAGGGGGGATGGTACAGATCAAGTTTACTTAACAAATCTAAGGATTGAGAGACATTTAGGCATTGCAAACTACTTAAGGCCAAATCCAGGGTTTTACCATGTGAATTCCTTATATGGTTAAATTGGTACAGATTATTCATAGACAAGCAGTCCACCAGACAGCGTCCTAAATCATTATTATAATTAGTAGGAATTGTGTGATTACAGTCATCGTTAAACTCCCAGTCGACAAAACTTAGATTAAAGTCACCCATCTCAATTACATTATCAATATGGTTCAGCACACTGTCCAGATTATCTAAGAAAACCCTTTGTTGCTGTATATTTACTAGTATGTTTTTGTACACTTCATTAGTCTTTGTTCGAATCCCACGGATATTTTGATAATATTTTGATAATACTGGCTTACTAATACCAGCAAGGCCGAGGTGTTGAGAGCTTAGTTTATCCTTGTTATTCTTTTTGTTAAACGCAGATACCGAAGCAAGAATAGCATCACGTTGTCTGAGTGCACGCAGCTGCCCTATCACTGCACGTGGACGATCGCTGTCTTTGCTCGCCTTAGAAACCCGTATTACATAAATAATCTCCTCAGCAGATACTGGAGCATCTACAGTTTTAATGAGTTGTTCAACAACATTGTTTAAGTTCTCTTGTCTGTGTTCCGGAATGCCATTTATTTCGATATTGCTTTCTCTCATATTTTGTTCAACTAGGTGGAGCCGATGCGTCAATTTCTCTACTGCTAGATTCAGCTTATCATTGTTTCTTCTTAAGTTATCGACTAATGTATTCCTTTCGAAACCAATTTTAAATATTCATACTGCCTGTTGAAAAACGTTAGAGATTCCCTCAGTTCCTTGATTTCCCCCGACATATTCTTTATCTCTGCGGTCACAAGCTGCCTTATTGCTAAACGAAGTGCTCCCGCCTGTTCCTGTTGAAGTATGCTTCTCAGCTTAGTTTCAGTAATGTAATCGCCGCCATTCCCAGGTTCTTCTGATGAGCAGTCAACGAGAGAAATTGACTTTTCCAGATCGCGCTTCCTCAGGGTGACATTTCTGGAGTGCGGTCCCAAGTTTCCAGTACCACAGGTGTTGCTAAGGTCTCCGGTTTCTACAAGGTCGCGACAAGCAGTAGGTTGGATGGGGTTGTTAGTATTTTCCACTTTAGGTAGCTTACTGCAACATTCAGGACACTTCCAACTGTGCTTGCGATCTTTGTCAGATGCATAAAAGCTATTAAAGCGACTTTGAGATATATTGGTGCAGTTTAAATCATATTTCATTTTGCATAAAGCGCATATCAAGAACTTTATACAACGCTTCTGTATGATGTTGCGGCAGCCAGAGAATATACCATTTTAATACGTGGGTGTTGTAAAAGGCGACAAATTAAAGTGGGCAGCAGCAACTTCTGGAAACAATTTAAAATAAATAAAAACTGCGGTTATATTGCAGTTGATTTTGATAAAATAAATAAATAATAATTCAAATCCAAAAGTGCACGCCTCGAACGCTCATATAATATTTTGAATAATCAGACCGTTTACAATAGTAATATTCAAAATAATTCCTAAAAATAAAAATATAAAGCTAATAAAAAACTGAAAGTGAGTTCAGGTTTTCGAAAGATATCTTGTTCACATTCATACAGACCAACTGTCGTTCTCTAATAATAATCAAAATAAATAATCTTATAACTATCTCAGAAGTATCTACTCTGGCTATTGGCGTACTTTTTTTAGTTATATAAGTGCAATATAAATCTGGCGGAAGTGATTTGAGTTTCGATTTTTAGATTTGGTGACAATAAAGCAATACATCTCCGTTTTTGCGTTCGGTGTGTGCAATGTAAAAGCTTTTAGGCCATAACACTTTATGTGCCGTGGTAGCTCAGTTGAATAACGCTCGTTATAAATTTCACAGAACGCGAGCAAATCGGGTTTGATCCTAGCCGGTGTCAATGAAATTGTTAATTGCAATTTTAGGTGCTGATTTAACACGTGCTCGGCGGTGAAGGAAAACATCGTGAGAAAACCTGTATGTCTAAGAAATAAGAAAAAATATTTCGAGGACATGTGAAGTTCACCAACGCGCATTGAGGCAGCGCGGCTGATAATTCCTTGCCCTAAAACCCTGTCAGAAATGAGCGGTGGCCTGTGCCCAGGAGTACGACGTATATAGGCTATAAATTTTATGTGGGGGTAATTATGCGCGTGTGTGCGTGCATGTGTGCCTGTGTGCATGTGTGCCCGCGTGCGTGCGTGAGTGTACGTGTGTGCGCGCGCGCCGCGCTATTGTGTGTGTATGTGTGTGTGTGTGTGTGTTTGTGTGTGTGTGTGTGTGTGTGAGAGAGAGAGAGAGAGAGAGAGTGCGTCGTTGCCGATAAAAGTAAAAGGCTTTCCGATTGACTACACTCACTATTCAAAACACAGCTGCCTTAAGCCTTTTTTTCGGTCAAGCCGACCTATTCGTGGTACGATCATACTATAGGTGCAACGTGGCTGTGACACGTAGAGAACCTAAAATCAATCTAAAACTTAATTTAAGATAACATCGAAATATCATAGCGTTGTACGGGAAATTCATTTTACGTAACAATATATTAGAACCTAACTAGCTACTTGAACCAAATCACAAAAGGTACATAATTTAATATTATTAGAACAAAGGGGTTGTTTGTAACAATAAACCTTCCAAAAGGTCTGTTGAAAAGACGTTAAAGCCTCTGATTACATTAGAATAACCTTTAGAGAAGCAAACCGTTTTTAACTGAATATAATATTATAAGCACTTGACTCGCCTTTATCCAAAAATGTTAAATAAGTTTTCAATACCTTTGAAAAGCGAATAAAAATAAAAGTTTAATTGCTGACCATTAAAAACTTTGACATAACCTGATACGACAGCATATTTTAAGCCTATGCTTAAATCAGTGTTATTTAATTGAAGTTTCTAAACGACTCCTCACACACATAAGTAACAGGCTCCGTACTAACAAACGGAGAATTGACCGCTCCACCTGCTGAACATCTCGAATCGCGTGAGATCTAACCCTCTTACACTACGGTAACATTTGTAATGATCTTATAAAATCTTATTTTATAATGATCTCTTTAATTTAAATTAAAAATATTATTATAAAACTTAAAATAATGTTTAATTGTAAAAACGTGCATAACATGAGTAATCTAAAATACTCTATTTATTATGTTGTGTAGATATGTACTCGAGAATGCTCGTAAAAGCTGTAATGCAAAATATTTTAATTCAAAGTTAAGTTCAAATAAATGAATAATGCTTTCACTAAATTGTGTTAACATAACTTTGACCAATCTACTATTGTTATAACAAGTGACTGTCCCTAAATTACCCTAGGATTAAATCATTTAAATTTTTCTGGAAACGAGGCATTCCAACTCAGTCCTCAGGGCTGGCAACGCATTTGCATTTTCATTTTTAATCCAAGAGAAATGTACGAGTAGATTTCGATGGGCCACAGCGTCCATTTACTATTAGGCGAACTGTGTGCAAGTTCGTCAATCTTATTCAATAAAAAATATTAGTGAAACTTCTTCATCTTAAACTTATTATCACACGTTACAAGTTTCAACAATACAAATGAATAAAACAGCTTCACATTTTAGTCGTTACTGTATTCAGTTACTATTATTACCAGATGATGAAGAAGAAGAAGAAGAAGAGTTGACGAAACCCTTCTTTTTCTTTGAATATATGAGTAATACTAGGTTAACAATGTTCTAGCGAAATATTTTCAAGTGGTAAAGGGATTAATCGTTACATCCGGTTTGTAATTTTTGTTATAGTATTACACTTCATACTTCCTTATTTGAACCCATATTAATTCTATAAGGTCGAGCTCGCAGTGATAAGGTGGGAGGTATGATAAACTTATCTATTGTTTATTTTTTTATTTTACTTGATCTTTATGGAATCTTACATTAGTACAGGATCAAATGGCGAACTTAATGCTAAAGGCATTTTTTGCCAGTCAACCGTAGAGCAGTGATAAAACTACGAAGGCGGTTTGTTTTACCTGCAACTTCTGCGGTTTTTTTACAAGGAGGAGTACCAGTAGGCCAGGAATTTTTTACTGGCCTAAAAAATTATAACAGTTTGCTTTTCTAAAGCATAAATAGAGTTAGAGCAAAAAATAATGATATTATTCGCTAATTTCCAGGCAATGTTCTAAAATCTAGACAAAAATGTATAGAAAAAAATCATCTTTATTAAATGAATTTTCATTGTTAGATAAATAATTATATAGGTTAGATATATAATTTGCCAGCTTGTTGGCAATGATACACTTTACTTATGATGTTATTACTTATAAGTTTATTTTTTAATCCCGGCGGAAAAGGGGGGTATTATATGTCTAACGTGTGTCTGTGTCTGTCTGTTGCATAGTGGCTACCAAACGGATAAACCGATTTAGATTTAGTTTTCTTTTTGTTTGAAAAGTGACTTACTCGAGAGTATTCTTAGCTTCAAGTTAAATTATCTGTCATAATATTATTAATGTAGCATTTTTTTACAAAATTCGCGAAAATATAAAATTCTTGTCTATCACAAAGTTTAAAAAATCATTTCATTACTCGATAATATTTTTGTTTCCTAAGCTTTCGTCAAATTCTGGATTTGATAACATTCGCAGCCCATCAATAAGTTGGTGTACATGTCGATAGTGCGGTATATAAACAAACGGCTGATGAACGGCTTTTGAAGCGACTTAAAATGCTTGACAACTGACATATCCACTTTGCGCAAAGTAATCACTGCATTTCTGTATGCTGTATTCTGTGCCTTCCTCTAAATTTTGTTTGAGAAATTACAGTGAAATTAATATGTGAAATGGCGGCAAATAGATTTTACTTCAAACGCTAGCCACCCTGCAAACCAGCACTACAAATTACAATGCGGATTTTTTTAAATTGTAGTTTATTTACTTATGTACAAGAATATAGTATGTTAGTTTCTAGTTGTTACTAAATGCTATATTCGTTATATGTTACAATCTATCAACTCAAGTAACCTATAACTATTATAATAGAAAAATCTATTACCATTTCAATAATTTTTCCTTGCTGAAAATGTTTTCAGCTTTAGTTTACGTTCACTGAGAGACCATTAATAATAAGGTTATTTATTTATTTTTATAAAATTATTTACAGAAAACAATGCAAATACACAGATTAAATATTGTTACTGGGATACAGGGCAAACAACAAAGGACAGCAAACGGCACACGTATGGAATAGAATGGCGTTCTTTAACTTAAATGTTTTTGTATGTAATGTGTTTATGTATTTTATATTTAAAACTTCTACTATTAAGTCAATTAAAATAATGTTAGCATTTTAACTGTGAAATAATGAAGTTTATTCTTCTGCATACATTTAATTCTATTTTGAAAAAAAAAATATATTCACTAAACACGATCCTGTAGAGTTTTATCACCTTCAAATTTGATTTTCACCAACACGAATGTCCTTTTAAAAATATTTATTTCTTTAAATTGCGGAGAATTACGCGTGGAATATTAGTGTGAGGACGTTTTTCGTAAAATAAGTGCCCAGAAATAAGAAACTTTATGGCTCGTAAAGCAAAAGTTATAGCTCAAGCTAGTCGACAGGGTCATTTTCAATAGACCTTTCTCTCAGTATTTCATTGAGGATATCACAAAAAGCATATTATTTTCATAGCTTCGTCAATAATTTTTCTGTGTTGTCATTATTTATATTAAATAAATAATCTTTAAATACAGTTTCCTTGGAATTATCATTGAAATAAGGCTTTAATAGGCGATTGTGAATATGACGATCATGAATCGATCGATTTGACGGGGGAATAATAGCGCTCGCACAGAATCAGTGTGAAATAGCCACATAAAGCTAAAAACTGGAACCGTTTTCACTAGTAACAAGGCAGACTGTTTTAGGTCTCGGGGGTAACAACGCATTTTGACTGTATCGTGGACTATGCTAGTAAACTTTGAAGCCGCAATAGTTGGCTCTTTTCTCGAAACTCCCTGAATCGTATCTGTCCGGAAAAATCGCTGGTGGTAGTCGAGTCCACAAGTAATTTTTGCGAGGGAGAATACTTCTTGTGAATCGCACAATAGTGGACCGCCAATCACTCAGATGCTGTGGATGGTTTCGCGAGTTTGTCGCGATGTATGATAGTGAAATTGAAAGCGGCTGAAATTAGTTCGAACAATTTCTCAGAGTACTATAAGACATGTCCTCAGTACAACTGGTGGGATTTA